GTGGGGCCAGCTTTGAAAACCGAGGCGAAATCTCTGCGTGGTTCAGGAGTTTCTTGGTGGTCCTGCATCCTTGTTGGATTGATGCTCCGCAGTTTTATTCTGGAGCACTGAAGTCTCTTGGAGAATTTCAATGAAATGAAATCTTATTAAATTTAATAAAAAGAAATATTTTTAAGTAGCTTTTGCTCAAATGAAAAGTCCGGTTTGTACTTGAACATCAAAGCTGATTCCAATGAGCTCCTAATGCATCCAAACTTTAAGTATTTAACTGCAGACAGCTGACTGAATAATTATTCGGTTTCATTATGTCTTTCCAAAACAATTGGCTTTTCTGCTTAATTTTGTGGCTTAGTTCTATAGCATTTAACAAGAAATTATGGATGTTGAAATTATTTTGCCAGCAGTGGCAACGCTGCTTAGATAAGGCTGGAGCAATTTGAAAGGTTGATGGCAGGAACTAAGGACCAGATTCTTATCTGGTTTTAATAGCATTACTTTGAATGGAGGTAATAGTTATGTCCAAGTGCTTTCTTTTTGCTATAGCAACAGTCAGAACTTCACGTAATTAAGTTCAGCCTCTTTCTGATGTGAAGCTTGTTGGAAATTATTGAAAGGCATTGCAAACCAGTAATTTCTCAAATAAGCTGCAATTTAAGTAGTCCTGAAGCAAAACCAATAACTGCTTTTGGCAAATTTTTTAATCTCATTGTGGTCACTGTAATTGAATTTGTAAAGCTTTTGCATTACGGAGGAGAAAGTTGTGGGATCACTGCAGGATGTGGTTGTTGCCTGTCACAGAAATGCTTTAAACAGTTTGTGCTGTTCTCCACTCAAACGGCCAAGATGCTTGGTCCCTGTTGTTTTTCAAGGTGACCCTTTTTGCTTGAGTAGCTCCCAAGCCTGTACCCTACAACCTGTGCTTGTCTTTGGCTGGCATCTGCTTGCTGCTCTTCCACTGGAGACATTGCAGCCATTTGCTTGAAATTCGAGGCTCTCCCTGTGTGTTGGTGCCTGCCCAGACCCATCTGGCCTTGGGATGGGTGTTTTACTGTTGCCATCGTGTTTGAGCTGCTTCAGATGACAGTGCATAGCCTGGTGCTGCTGCACTTGTGATTCTTGCCAGAGCAGTGCCAACTGCAAGGAACGCTGCTCTAGCTCAGAGGAGGAAACCACAACCTTCAGGTAAACTTCATGGCTTTGCATAGTATATTCTTTATCAAGAGCCAATATTTATTCTTTCTTTTGAGTACAACTGCTTGTTTTATGCAGACATTTCCATATGCAAGCTTTGATTTCTCTGGACAGTGATCTCCTTACAAGCTCAAATCCAGCAAATCTCTCCCTCCCTCAAGCGAGGAAAGGAAATGGACAGTAAAACTTGCCTGAGCTTACAGTGGTGGTCTGGATCTATTCAATCAATTTGAGTTTTTCTGTTGACTTCAGGGAACTCGGAGCCTGCAGTCTGACAGTGTATTGTATGGTGCAGCTGCAGACTGGCTTCTGCAAGGAGCCTTCCCTTTAGCTCAGGGTAGGGCAGTGCTGAGCTCTGGTTTAGATACCAAGTGACATGAAAATGCTGTGTGACTCCAGAGTAAGCTCTCTGTTGATATTTATGCTGCATATTTGTTGCTTGATTGAGGCTATTAAGATATATAATGTGTATTAATGTGTCCTCCTCTTACTGTGACTGAGAGCAATTAGTGTGCTGTCAGCATGCAATAAAAATAAGCAATTTCTAAACTGACTAAAGATGATCTAGAAATTCTATTTATAAAGCAAGCAGAGTTTGTATCAGGTAGAGTCTGCCCTTTCAGTTTTATCAATGTTACAGATCCTAATACAAATACCTTAGTGCTTTCTGTCAGTTGTTTACTAAATATATGTTAAACTAGTGATTTCCTTGTTTTGCTCCAGGATTGTAATTTCAGGCAGGATATGATTCAGAGGTCTCTAGAACTGCTATGTTATTTGTTGTGATGGAATCAACTGAGCACACAAAATATCTCTATTACAGGAAAAAAAAAAAACCCGAAACCCTGTGAGAAACAATGTTCCTGTGCAAGAGCAATTCATAAAGTAACAATGTACTTGTCTCTTATTGATGCAGTGACTTTGGTTTATTAAATATTTATTTGTAGCCCCAGTAACATTACATCTGAGGTTCATAATTGGAATTTAGAAAGACTAATAAATTTTGATTTCATCCTGAATGCTGTTCGTTCAGTGTGTTTACATTAGTGCCAAGAAAAGGCATTGCCTGAGCTCTGTGGGTGCTGTTTGCTGTGCTCAATCTACTGATGGTGTGTCTTTGAGCAAACAAAATACCTAAGATTGTCACTGCTGGTGTAAATGGCCACAGCTCCAAAATTAGGAGTGATGCACCATGGCTTGGATGTACCCTGTGGCAAATCCATGGCATGAAAACACTGTAAAATGAGTCTTGTCAAGACCAGGTATGTCATGGTGAGTTAATTCAGCTTGGCTGGATTTTGCCATTAGCAGGTAACCCTCCTTGTTGATGTGCATGGCTCCAGCCAGGCAGCAGCCTGTAGAAATGCTGTCACTTCATTAAGGGTCATTATGCTTCATTAACGGGTCCATTTTAGCCTTCCTCAGCAATCTCAGAAATGGTTCCAGGCCTGAATATTCCTTTGGTATTTTAATTGTAGAAAGTAATGACACAATCCTGTGTTATTGTTATGGATAAAGTACAGCTCCTGGTTGAGCTGGGTTGTGGTGTGTGAAACACAGGAGCTCCTTCTGACACCACTTTGAATAACTGCATTGGTGTTCTTTTCAAATTAATTAAAAACAACATGAGACAAGAACCACTGCTCAAAGTGCTTGCAGATTTAGTGAGAATCCCTCCAGTTCCCCACAGATTATGTGGGATGTGGTGGGCTTTTGCCAGGGAGATGGTGCTGCTCTGGAGTGGAGTGAGTGTGGGAGGGATTGGAAATGTCTCTGCTTGGGTCAGAGGAATTGGAGTGCAGAAATCAAACCCAGGTAGGACTCACCTCTGTCATGGCTGGAGAAACACATCAGCCCTCTTCAGCACAGGATTTGTTTTGTGTCTTTCAAGTTTGGGTGTGTTTGGTGACCATCTGGGCAGGATCCTCATTGGGAGGATGAACACTGTCCCTGTGTGCTGGTGTCAGTCCTTGCTCACCCCACACACCTGATCATAGCCAAGGGAGCTGCCAGTGGCTGTGTCTGCTCAAGGCAGTGTCCCCCTCTGAGTCTGAGGGGAATAATGATATTTTCTGTCACTTGCTGGGAGCCTCCAACAGTCAGAGAAGCAAAGGTGTGTGTCTGGCATTTTCTGAAAATCTGCTGAGGGTGCAGGTGTGAGTCCCTGACTGTGAGTGATCCTGTGCTGCTGGGGGCTCTGGAGAAGGGATGAAATTCACCCTTTGGCTTCTGCAGTTCCACAAGACCATGTTTTGCTGTGGTTTGCTTTTGGCCACAGTAGCTACAGAAATCCCAGGACTCTGGTTCTGCAGGTGCTGTGTGGCAGCAGGCTGGGAACAGCATGCCCTGAGGAAGAGATTTTTGGGGTAAAACAACTACATTATGGGGATTCATTGCCAGTACACTGGAGACTGTATAGCTCTGTAGGCACTGAGTGTGGATGGACACTGTCAGCTGAAGCCTCTGTGTTACCAAACCTGAGCTGGGTTTTGTTGTAAGATGAATGTTCTATAACTGTTCCCTTTTTTTGTGTTTTTTTTTAACAGACTCGAAATGATGCCACCAAGGAGCTTTTGGTGCTCTCTTGTACTGCTGGGAGTTTTCCCACTGGTCACAAGGGGATGGATGGATGTGGACCAGAGCAGGAGCCTGTATTCAGATGTGGGGAGGTTGCATCAAGAGGTACTGTACACCTGCTGCTGCAGCCACAGCTCTTGGATTTCTGTTCTTGGGCGGTGGGCAGGCTCTCCATATTGCAAACAGAAAACAAGTGTGGGCTTATCTGAATGTATTTGTATTAAACACCTCCTGAGGAGGTCAGTAAACAGAAACTCTTACACTTACTGGGTATATTGACATCATCTGGGAGTGAAATTGTGCATCTGGCTGCTGTGGAAGTGCTGTCTTTGCCCCAAAGACTTTACGGTGTGCTGTGTCCTGGGGCTGCTGACATCAGTGAAGCTAAATTTAACAAGCAAACTGTCCTGGCTCTTCGCTTGGGTCAGTGGACATTTAGGTGAAACCTAAAAAAAGCTCTTTTGAAGGAAAGCTGAGCCATAGGTGGTTCTGAGAGAATCAGCAAAATTCCTGCCCAAAGTGTTTTCCTCCAGACTTCCTGATGTGACACCTTTGTGAAGCACAGAGGAATGGGGAAGGGAGCAGGGAACAGTGACTGTAATGAGTAGGAATCTTTTCCACCCCAGAGCCCATCTTGCTGGGGCAGGACAGCATTGCCTCCTCGGGGCTCAGTGGTGCCCTCAGGGAGTGCAGAAGCAGCTGAGCCTGTTCCCAGTGCTGAAGGTGACAGAGCTGGCTGCTGTCACAGGGGTGTGCATGGAGCAGTCCCTGTCCCAGCAGGACTCTGGATTTCTGAGCCAGAGCTCAGCACTGCTTGTGGCACCGATGTACGCTCAGATTGTCACAAGTCTCAGGCTGAGACGTGGGAATAAAGGCACAAAAATCTGGAACTGTGACTTTGTTGAGCTGTAAATGATGAATGAATGCTGAAACAATTTTAGCTATTTAATTAGTTCCTGTATGTTCCCTAAATGGTTGCTCAAATGTCTGAAAGTGAGAGATGGTGCAGAAGGACAGGAAAAGGACACTTGGCTATTTTTTAGCTGCCATTGCCTTGAACACTTATGTGCTGGCAGACACATCAGTCAGTGCCAGGCTAATGATAAGCCCTTGATGGATTCATGTTGCAATTGGATCTATTTAAGCCTCGGGATTTGGTTGTAGTTGGAGGATCCCATTTCTCCCAGTCACACTCTCTCTACAAATACCCAGTTATCTGCATTATAGTTTAGCCAATTAAAAAAGTGCTTTTTGCTGCTTAGCAGGGCTCAAAAGTAATTTCAGTGGTGTTGGATGCTCTACAGCTGTGAGGTCTGTTTTAGGTGTATTTTGTCCTTGAGGTTTCCAGCCTCTGCTCTGTGAAAGTGAACAACAGCTCCCCTCCACACCTCCTCTGTTATTTTGCTGCTGTGTAGGGTTAGGTAGTACACTGGCACTTTGTTTAACCTGTTCTTGCAGAATCTCTGCTCAATTTTCCTTTTTTATTAAAAAATATTAAATATTTTGCATGCTTGTGCAGGTAAAAAAAGTCTCATTCTTTACTAATGCACATTAGTAAAGAATTTTTAAGAAAGTTGCTCTGAGGAATGAAATTCATTACTCAATTTACTTTAACATAAATAATAGAATTATTATATTACTTGAAAGACATTAATTCATTTGATCTTTCTCTAAAGACCATAATGATATTGTACCAATTACTTGATCTTGCTTGAGGTGGAAGGATCTCAGCTAAGAATGTATTTGCTCAGGTTTGCACAGAATTTAACAAATGTGAATATTAAAATCATGAATGTACAAAGAATGCCGTTAAAATAGATTCAAGAAATGTAAGTTATAAATCAGATTTTTGAAAAAAGTATCTCTACAGAAAGCTTGTTTCCACAAGAAATAGTGCTTATACAGTGTGGCACCAAACACCAAAATTAATCTGAATGCTCTGAGCATAACTTTCAGATAGGTCAGTGAAAGTGAGATAATCACCTTTTGAGAGTAAGCAGCAGTTACTTTCTCTTTCAGAAAATAGTTTATCCATAATACCTTTCTAGTCACTGAAATCCTTTTCTAGCATTATAGGGCTTTGTTCGATTTGGAGCTCCTTATCCGTGAGAAGTTTGTTAGGTTCCAAATTTTATGGTTTGATTAATACATAGATCCATTAACATGCATTAAAAATATTAAATCACAACTAGAAATGCTCCTAGCAAGTCACTAAAACTGCTTTAAAAATGAGTAAAATGTTAATTTGCAGGTCAAATAATTTTGAAGTCTGCTCTGATGGAAAATTCCTGTGAACCTCATCAAAGCAAATACGTGGGTATGGGTCGCTGACCTTCACTAATACTTGTTCTGATCTACATAGGAACAAGTTTACTGAATCAAAAACATTGCTTAATTTATGTTCAGATTGCTAAATCAATTTCTCCATGGTATGTGGTAGAATTATTGCAGCTGTGCTTTGAATTTATTAAAGAAAATAAGACTACAAGGCTTTCTGATCAGAAACCAACCCTCTAATATAACAATGGTGTGTGTTTTCCTTGATGTGCAGCCCTTCACCCCTCAAGTTTATGGGGTGTCCCTGAGAAGAGGTTTATTTTCTGGAGTCTTTTTAGTCCTGATTAGAATAGTTAATAAATGTGTATATGCAGTATGAAATTCCAGTTTCAATGAAAGAGCTAAAATAGAAAACCTAATTTAGAAAAGACAGCATTAGTGTTTGACTGGAAGGCTGCAACATTCCTGGTTTGTATTAATTTTGGAGACTACTGCTGTGTTGTGTGGAATGTCTCATAGGCTGGTTCCAGTGGTTGCTGGGAAGCTCTTGAGGCTTCTGGGCATTGCACGTGGACTTGGGTGAAGCTCCTCAGGGTTAGACCATCATGAGATGAAATCCTGTTCAGTGGAATATATGCTGAAATATCAGATATATAGAACTTACTGCTCTGGAGTGTTGGTTTTGGACAAGTTTTTGCTTCTGCCTTCAGCAAGTCTGATTGCATGTTCAAGTTGGATGTTCTAGAGGTGGCTACAATCCATGGGCAGCTCTGTGCTGGCTCAGAAGGGCTTTGGATGGTCCATGACACACCAGGTGATGTGGTCTGGGGTCACCTCTTCCTTCTAGAATAGAATTCTCAAAAAAATGCAGCTTTCTGAGTCATTGCCAGTGGTAGTGAAGAGAGTTTCCAGTATGAGCAGAAAAGAGACAAACAATCTGGATCTGAAATAACCCTGGAGTTTGGGTTGGGAGAAGAACTTGGCCAGGAGGTTCTGATGGAAAGCCAGCAGTGCTGGTCTGCTCAGTCTCTGCTAGGTAATACACACCAGTAGCTCGAGCTGGTTTTTTTTCAGCCTCCTGGGGTATTTTGCAAAGCATTTGAAATTTAACAGCCAGCTTCTCCCATTCCCTGCTTTCCCTGTGAGAGGCTGATTTCCTGTGCATGCTGAAGCTGTGCTGGTTTTGCCATGGTTCTTAGGGCAGAGCTTGCATCTCCTTTTGTGAACCTAAAATGAGCAGAGCACTGCTGCAGGTCTTCATCAGCCCTTCCAGGAGCAGAGCTCCTCTAACACATCATCACAGAGCTGCATTTTGGAAATTTAAATTCTGTGTTATGTTTTCTGGGGCACTGCTGGTGGGTAGCTTTGAATAATATTGTCCTAGCTTGATAGTGTGAAAGTGGAGAATAATTGTGTTTTGTGGTACATGGGGAGTTGTTTTGTGCTGCATTTTTAAGTATTTGGATGTCACCAAGCTCCTGAATGGTGACAGTAAAGGCTGGCAGGCATTCTGTGGTCTGTTCAGGGCTACAGAACCATAACTGTTCTGTGGTTTCTAGAAATACTTAATTGCTTTAATTTGCCTTTCATACTGTGCTATTTTTGCCACCCATCCTCCTACTTGAGGAGTCTCAGGAGCCCATGCAGGGCCCCCACGCTCCTGTGGGGAGAGGAGCTGTGTCCTTGGGGAGGCTCCTCTGCACAGAGCTCACAGGTGATGCACGATGGGCTCATTTCTCAAGGCACCTTAACCTTCTTGCTGGCATTTGGCAGGTGTTGGCTCTGTTTGCTATCCATTGGTTTTATTCATTAATTGTTACTTGAATGAGAACACAGATTCCCATCCCTGGAGGTGTTCAAGGCCTGGTTGGATGGGGCTCTGTGCTCTAGTGGAAGGTGTTCCTGCCCCTGGCAGGGAGTTGGATTTGAATGATCTTTCGGGTCCCTTTGAATTTAAACTATTCTGTGATTCTATGGCACCTGGACAGTTCAAAATCTCCAATTATAAATGTGCAGCAAACAGCTGGATCAGACCAGCCCTTCAGGGCCCTCACGCCCTGCTGGAATTCAGCCTTTCTCTGGAGTCCACTCACAAGCCTCAACCCTGCTTGTCTAAGAGTATCAATTATTGCTGAAATTTCTAGTTATATTCAGATTCTTAAATGTTGCATCAATTACTGCTACATCTGAAGATGACAGTAGGTTATTCTGGGCAGCAAAAGATTCATAGGGATGATTTTGGGCTCCTTCCCCCAGCAAAGTCATGTTTCCTAATCTGACAGACTAGGAAGGGATTTTTTTTTCTGAAGCAAGTTAAAAAATTGCAAAGGCTTTTTTTGATAAAAGCTTTTTGCTTCTAATTCGAGTACAGACACAATTTCAGAGGATGAGCTTGGAATAAAACAGGCATAGTGTATAAATTTTATATACAGTTGAAGATCTAATATCCTGATATTTATTTTAACTGTTAATAATAGTAATGTATTGTCTGCCATTTGAGTGTTCTTCCTGCTTTTCAGTTTGGAGAAAGGAAGAAAATCAGATTTAAATTTAAATCTATACTGTGCTACAGCCTGCTGCTGCTTCAAGCATTAATGAAAGTACAGGGAGACAAGACTTAAGTTCATTTTTCTACCACTTTGGTATGTAGTGATAGTTCACTCCTTGTTACCTGCATTTATGTGGTATCTCTAACAAGCAGTAATTGCTTTTTTGTAGAGTATCCTAAATCTTAACAGGTATCTTGTCCCTGTGGAGATGAGAAGCTTTTGCTCTGAGTGCTGGTTACCAGAGCATCTGCAGCTCAAGGTGCTGTGGAATGTTTTGAT